AAGAGGCCCGAGGGAAGTCACTACTCTCTCTTATCCCTTGTCACCATGTTAGGGTTCAGAGAAGTCCCATCCAGGAAGAATGAGCCTTCATTTCATACTGAATTTTCTGGTATCTTGATCTTTACCTTCACAGCCTCCAGAATCATAAGCAGTGTTTACAAATGACTTAGTATGAGGTGTCTTGCCACAGTATCTCAGAGGGTTAAAGACAACTCCCTTGACGATTTTGCTCTTTTGTGTCCCTGTAGGAAGCAATGCAGCTGTTAATGTTTATGAGAGGGGATGCATTGCTGTGGTTTATGCCACCTTCCTTCATACATTCATTTACTCTACCATGCTGGGTTATAAAAGCGGATAAAGGATGCATATCATAGTTGCTGACCATCAGTCATTCATCATTCTGCAAATATTTATAATGCACTTCCTACCTGTTGATGAACCAGGCACAGATAACTATATGTAAACTCAGAGACCTTCTGCATTCAACTTAGCACTGCACAAGCTTAGCCTCAGTCAGGGGGCTACCTTCACTATAGTTCTGTGGGAAACTGATGATGAATTCCAGGGAGATGGTACCCAGAATGTCTTTGGGAACTCCTCTTTTAGAATTACCTTAAGATTCAATTTATAATCAAGAGAAAAAAATTTCAGTACTTTTAAATCATTTTTCTTTTTGTATTTTATATTTTACTTTATCAATAATGATACAACACAGACACACATACCCCTATACATGCATACATATATATACATACACAGACACAAACTCACCAAATAATGTCATGAACTATGAAAAAAACAGAATCAGTCCACCTTTTAGATGCCTAAAGAGCATGGGTTTTAGCAAAGGACATTCTTGAGTCCATTGGGCCTGTCTATGTAACCACAGTCAATGATCTATCTTTTTCGAGTCTCAATTTACAATAAATATGACAATAAAGCTTTTAGCACTTCCCTGGGGACTAGAGCTAATATCCTTTGAGGTCCAGTGCTGCCCCCCATCCCCCCAAAGACAGAGCTCAACAATTGATTTTATGATTTCTAACTCTCAGAGGAAGAGACTGAGAATTTCATGAATATTGTGTGTACTTTTAGCAGGTATGCTCCAGAGTTAGGGCTCTTGGACACTAGATAGTACCAGTGCACGTTGGTAAGACACAGCAATGGGCAGAACAGCATGATCCTTGTTTTCTTATCTAACCTGGAAAGACTCTCCAACTCAAATGTTCTCAACCAGTGCCTCCACCACACAGTGTGAGTGGTCAGAAGTGGGGGAAGGACTGAGAATCCTGCTGTGGTCCTCAACCTTCCTGATGCTGTGACCCTTTAATACAGCTCCTTGTGTTGTGGTGACCCCCCAACCATAAAAGTATTTTCGTTGCTACTACATAACTGTAATTCTGCCACTGTTATATATCATAATGTGAATATTTTTTGGAGATAGAGGTTTGTCAAGAGGGTGCAACCCACAGGTTGAGAACCGCTGTCCCAGAGGGAGTAGTGGCAACCAGCCCCAGTCCCTGGAAGCAGCAAACAGAACTGTTAAGGATCTCCAGCTTCTAAGACTGCCATAAGATCTGGCCCAAAGGCTTAAGCATCCCAAGCTCCCCAAAGCAGGGGCTTGCCACCTTCACATTCTCTGTAGCACTAGGGGCTGAATCTAGTACCTAAGTACTTCGTGTGCAGCAAGTACCTGTCACTAAGCTCTATATCCCTCGCCCTCTTTTTACTTTTGTACTTTGAGACAGGATCTCACTAAGTTGCCTGGGCAGACTCTGAACTTAGTCTGTAGCCCAGGTAGGCTTGAACTTGTGATCTCCTCTGTCAGCTTCGTGAAAAGCTGAGATTATGGGACTGTGCCAACAGGCCTGGCTCCCCACCACCCCTCCATAGTCCAGTTTTGATTTGTTCAGCAGAGGTTGGACAGTGGATAACGGCACACTCACTTCTCATGTAGCCCTCTTCTTCCCCTGCCCTGGAGTCCACTAAGACTCCCTGCCAGGCACAGAAACTACATATAGGAAGTTCTTCGGTCATTTAGAGTCCCCACAGACTGGCTCTGTTCCTTATTAGCCATGTGGCCTTGGGCAAGTCATTCAACCTTTCTTGGTGCCCACCTTAAAAAGCCAAAGGGTTACAAGGAGAATTCAGTGAAATGGAAATGCGCGTGGAGCTTCCTGCTGGGTGCCTGGCACGTGCAATTGATTAGAATGGTCCTATGGAATGTCAGGGCTGGAAGGGGCTTGAAAGATGACCTAATCCTGGTGTCTGATTTCACAGGCAGAGTGAACTGAGCACAAGGAAAGGAACTGACTTGCCCAAGGTCACATGGTAAAAACCTTAGTGATACTGAATCTAGCACCTTGAGTTTATTTTTGAAATCAAAGGTCAAAACCTGTCATGAGACCTGCTTGCTCTTCCTGCGAGCTGAAGAGTTACCAGTTTTCTAAGCTCCCTGATTTGGTCCTCCTGATCCATAAGTCTAATTTAAACTTTCTTTCTCTACTTATCAAGCAAAAATACATATTTCTACCAAGAAAAAAAAATACATAACGTACCTCAAATCATTAAAATTAAAACTAAAATCTCAGACCTTAGCATAAAAGTAGTCTTTTAAGCTTTTTCCTCATCTTCCTCGATCACTGCCCACCCCCGATTTTTGCAATAACAGTAATGCTTTGAGGAAAGAAAGAATAAAAATCTGATGCACATAACAGATATTTCAGTACAATAACGCATCACAGATGTTCCTATCAAACTGTGCATGCATGTATGCACACAATTTTACTGAGAAAGCAGTTGTATTTCTGACTGTCAGGTTGAGGATCCCAATGACCTCTGCCCAGGTTCTGGATTCCGCTTTTTCCCAGTTAGCCCATTGCTGCCCAAAAGGATGAAGGAGAGGTTTCATCACCTCCTTCCAAAATGATATCAGGACAAATTGGTGCCGTCAGGCTCTGGGGCAGGTGGTGAAGGGTGTGCAGATTAGGAAATGAGAGGACTCCTGTTTTCTTTTGCCTGAGACTTGTTTTCTACAGCCCTTTCAAGAAGCTGGACCCAAGAACAATTTGAAGAGCGGGCCCAGGCTGGTGATGGGGTGGGAGTGTTTTTGCAACAGAAACTGGAGTCTGTTTGATCTTCAAACATGGGCTTTGGAGATTGTCAGCGGGCTCCTTGCTGGCCAATGAACGGCTCTCAGTAACTTTTCCTAAAACATAAGCTCACACACTTTGCAGCAAATGTTTTCAACCCACCAGAGCCGTCATTTGGTAGAACAGCAGTGTTTCCAGACCCCTGAAGAAAGATAGTTTTGTTGTTTTAAGAGAGACAGATTAAAGCCAGGGACTGTTTAACCAGAGAGCTCCAATGCTCCCTTCAGGCCTTGTCAGGTTCCTCTGTTGTTGGTTCAAAGAGGGTGTTGAGAGTGATAGTGGATCCCCCACCTCCCAAAACTAAAATAGATATCTATGGAGGCCAGACATGAGGAATATGGGCAGAAAGACCGCCCACAAAACTGCCTCCAAAATGAGATGGGCGGGCGGTGAGTGCTGGGGGCCCCTCGACCACTGATAATATCAGCTCACGAGGCTGGCAAGGGGAAAGTCACTTCAGAAGAGGAGAGCCGCTCTGTTCAGAAGGCTCCGCGCTGGGGCAGAGAATACACAGGATTTTCCCCGTGGAGATGGAGGCAGGCGTAGTCAGAACCCTGCGGGGCGTGACTAACTGCCCCAATATTCCTGCCACCGGGCCCTCTGGGTAAGGACTCCACAATTATGGGAGAGCCAGCAGGAGAACTCACAAACCCGCCTTTCATTTGGCCGGCAAATCAATCTGGCTTCTTACCTCCCTGGGGACAATATTGCATTTCCCCTGGAAAAACAAAGGCCAGAGATCTAGGAAGGGGGATCAGCTTCAGCAGCCGTTTCCCTGGTGAGGAGCTTGCAACATCTCTGGAGCAATTGAGTCTGATTCCAGGGACAGAGTCTGGGGTCTACTCATTTTATGAGTCTATCTCCTTAATGATGAGCACGCACGTCTTGTGGTCACATTTCACTTACAGCACCAACCCAGACCCTGTATTGGGGCCTCCTTGTAGGAGCCACAAGCCAGGAGTTCCCATCCTGGGTTGACAGCCCTGTTCTCTAAGCACACATGTGAACTTATTGTTCCCAGGGCCTCAGAGTTGAGTTGGGGACCAGTGAGTCGCGAATGACCTCTGTCCATAGACAGGCTTTTAAAGACATTTTGCTGGGTCAGGTCTCTGACAGCCAGAGACTTTAAACCTCTTAAAAACCCTCCCTTCTCCCCTACTCCCTAGGTTCAGAAATCAGAACTGTCAACCTTAAGCAAACACATTTCTCTGAAATTATTACCCCCCAAACTCTCCTTGCTGACTGGATGCTCCCCCAGTGTTAAGGAGGCAGCTCCGGAGTCACAGACCTTAGCAAAGGCCCTGGGAAATGGTGAAGAACTCAGCATTAACCAGCAAACTAGTGCCATGTCCACAATACCTTCCCTGCCAGCACAACCTAGGCACCATGGCCTCCACCTCCATATTGTTTCTGTAATAGACACACTCACAGGTGAGTGTCCAAACAACCTCAGGACAGCTCTGTGCTCAAAGTCCCCAGGGCCTGGGGAAGCCTGCTGCAAATGGGCATCTCCCTCTCTCTGTTTTGTATCACTCTGATGCTCCCGGGGAAATTCTTTCTGCTCAGGCAAGCACAGCAGGTGGAGAGTGGATATCCCCAACAGGGGAACCACTGAAATGGAAAGAAACACCCAAACTTTGGCACGTAGTAGTTTCCCCTGACCCCAACAAAGCAGCCCAGTGCTGTCCCAGGGCCAGAGAGATGCTTTTGCTTGGGGCAGAGAGCGGAGGGTGGGGTGTAGGGGGGATGGGAACCAGCCCTGGCTGTCTGTTGGAGCATGACAAAGATCAGAGACCAGGATCAAGATACTGGGGGGGCTGCTGGCTAGGCTGGTGTGTGGGTTCCTACCTGGGAGAAGTTGAGACCATTGAGGGGATGGCATTGCTCCTCAACCCGCTCCACAGCCCCAGTGCTCTTCCTCATCTTCTCGGCCTGCTGGGCCAGGTAGAGGTCCAGCACAGGCACGCCTCGGGAGCGCACATCTGTCTCCGTGAGTGAGTTCACCATGAGCATCACCCACACTGGCCTCTTGCGCTCCCAGTTGCCAGCGATGGCATTGAACAGGTAGTCAGCATACAATCCTTTGCCGCGCTGTGCCGGTGTCATCCACGAGGGCATCATCAGCTTCACGTAGTCCAGGTGGCGCTTCAGGCGCCAGTAGAGCTCTCTGGGCAGCACATCCTGCAAGTTCTCCCCATGGGGCAGCAGCTGGCAGCTGGCCAGGGCTGAGATGGTATAGGGATCTGTCAGATCCAGCTCAAAGTAGACACGGGTGCTGGCCTGGAAGGCTGCTTTGGAATTATCAGGGATGAAGTCCCAGACTCGGGTGTATGGAACGTGGATGGTGCCAAACAAGTAGGCTGGGGGATGGCGCCGAATAGTCCACAGGAAGGAGTTCAGGTCCCTCTGCTACAAGGAGAGAGGAGAGGAGAGGCAGATCAGTGAGGCCAAAGGCAGCAGAGCAGAGCCAGGTTGGCACAGAGAGGTGGCAGGGGCAGATGGGGCCAGAAGGCAGAGGCCCAGTGGCAAAGCTTTTAGCTTTACAAGCTGAGAGCTCCACATTCAAATGCTGGCTTTGCCCTATCTTAATTGAATAATTTGCACTGCATCGTTTCACTTCCCACAGTCTCAGTTTCTTCTTCTGTAAAATGGGGGTGAGAATGAAAGTCACTGGTAGGACTGAAAACCAGAACATACATAGCTGAAGCCCTCCGAGTGGTGCCAGGCACAGAGGAAATGGGCAATGAAGGGAGGCTCTCTTTATGACTGGCTTTCACTGTGAAAGCCAAGGACTGCCACACCACCTGAGAACATTCATGCTTGGCCAAGCCAAACCTTCACCAGTAGTGTTTCATGTAAAGGGTGGGGAGAGGGGGGACCAAGAGTCCTGCTCTGGCAAGGAAAGCGGAAGTCATATAACTTTTAAATACAGCCATTAGAAGACACATGCCAAGAGCACTCTGAAAGCAGAACACCTATTAAAAATAGCACACCTATTTCAACAGTTACTTCCCATTCATCCGGGTGGGTAAGGGTTCCTTCTTGGAGGGCACTTCTGGAGTGTTAGCTACTTTGCTCCATTCGCTGAGACCATAGATGAGAAAGTGTTTTAAAAACCTTGCAAAGTCAAATCAAGCCTCAATTTCTGGTTTGGGAGGAGAGGATTCCATAGAATTAACCCCAAGAAATGTACCTATCCTGGGTGCTTCCCAGACTTCCTCACTAAAAAAGGAATACCTGGTTTTCCATCCCCAGGTCTGTCTTTTTCTGTGACCTAGGTACACACTAGGGTTGTGTGCCTCAAGCAGGGTCACAAATACCAAGGCTGATTTTCCAGGACCAATTAAGATTTAGAAAGAAACAGGAGTTAGGGGGCTATCATTTCTCTCAGGCAAAGTCATCTTCCATCTAGAAAAGTCCCCGGAGTGACCAGGGACCACTTATAAACTTGAGGTCAAGTCATAACATTTCCCTACCTAATTCTGACACAAATGTAAAGTATTTATTGTGCGTGGTGGAAACAGTACCTTAATTTACCAACAAGATTTGTAAATCTGAATGCACAAAGACAGTGCACACCAGCTAGCCAGGCAGGCTGCTGGCCGTGCACCTTGCCCATGGCCAACCTATGCCCTGCTACTAGGGCAGCATAGGAGGATCCTGTAACAGTGTTCTGGTCTCCTGGCCTCCAGTTCAGGGTGACTGCCAATGCATTAATCTCTATTGGAAGAGAAGGAGCATTGGGAGAAAATCATGAGATTCCGGGCTTGGGGAGGAAAACTGGGAGAAGCAGTTAACTACTTGACCCCCTCAGGGAAATATTAGACAAGTATGTTCATTCTGTCATTTCCGTTTCTCTCCTCTGGACTCTTACCCCTTTTCAGGAAACAGGGGCATTTGGGACAATAGGTGCTGGGTGGGGCCTGGGGTACAGAGGGAGAGCACGGGGGCGAGGGGGGTGGCCTTAGGTCAGAAAAGGGGGCAGGGAGAGAGAGGGAAGCCTAGGCAGGGGTCCTATGTGAATGAAACAGCGAAAGGGCTGGTAGGGTGTAGAGAAGGGCAAGAGGTGTTGGGACGCAGAAAGAGACCAAAGGGTAAAGACAAGATAAAAGACAGGAGAGTCAGAAGCGGGCACAGAAAGGAGAAACGTCCAACCAAGACCAAAAGTCTAGAGGAAACTGTCCGCGAGTGAAGAAGGAACCATCTGGGCTGGGCTGGGCTGAGTTGGAGCCCCAGAGGACAGATGCTAAGGAAGGGAGCCCGGGCTGTGCCCAGAGGGCGGAGGTGGAGCGAGTGGGCTAAAGAAGGCAGGTCCCAAACCATCGCCCCTTGGGCTAGAGTGCCCAGGCAGGCGGGAGAGTGGCGGGGCTGGCGCTCGCTCACCGATCCGGGCGGCCGGCACTGTCCTCCGTCAGGGGGTTGCGGGCGGGCGCGGGCGGTGGCGAGGAGGGCGGCAAGCAGCGGCCCCGCCAGGGCGGCGTGCATCCTGCCCGGGCCCGCGGGATGCGGGGGACCCTCCTGGGCAGCGCCCCCTCAGCAGGGCGGGAGCCCCCAGCTGGGCACCGAGGCTCTTCTGGAGCACAGGGCTCCAGGCGCGAGATGCTGGGAGCCCGCTGGGGCGTGGCTGGATGTCCCTGTCGGACCTGGGGGTCCCTCTGGGGCGGGGCTCCGTCTGTTGGAAGAGGGGGATCCTCTGGGGCGGGGCCCCTCACCAGGGCGCGCAGCCGGGTTGGCCAAGCCCCGGAATTCTGCGAGCGCGCAGGGGTCCTGGAGCGCGTGGCGGTCCGGGAGCCGCGTCAGGGTCCAGGGGTTCGCGGGGCTCCTAGGGCAGTCCCGAGGTCCCGGGGTAAGCGAGGGATCTCGGGTTATGCTGGGCACCCGGGGCGCGCAAGGGTCCCAGGGGTGCGCGGCGCTCCAGGGGGCGCGCAGTGGGACAAGTGCGGCGGAGGGCGCGGCGGGGCGGGGGTCGGCTCTGAGGTGCCCGGCTG